TATGACCAACCTCTCTTCTAAGAAGAGAGCCCATGAGCTTCTGTTTGCACCTGCTATAATGAGCAGCTGTGAATGGTGTTCAGTGCAGAAAGGGAAGCTACCTCAAATCTGTTTGGGACACGTATGAATGTCATTAGTAGGGTCCCAACCAAAAACAAACAAACCACAAAAACAGTCAAAAAAGGTATTCAAGAGAATTTAATGAAGGAACCATCTTTGTAAGTAGAGGCAAGATTTAGGGAAAGTAGCAAAGGATGGTGGAATACTCCCAAGCTACCAACATCAGGAGGCCATTATCATCATTAGGCCTAAAGGGGCAACTAAGGGGTTACCAGAACCCAGAAAGATCTGTAATTGGAGCTGACTGGCAGAGAGGGCGATTGAAAAGAAGCTGTGACCTACTCACAAACCACAGAACAGCTCTAGCAACACAAATCCAGCAGGAAAGAACTGGCTCTTCCAGGCCTCCTACTGATGTACCACCAGCCAAAGCCAAACAGAAACCATAAAGCAAGAGGTCAGTTGATAGAGCCCATATAATTTGCCTGCTTCCCAGAGCACAGAGCAAGGTGGAGAACAAAGCTGGAGGGGCAAAAGGAGAATATGAAGGCCAAAAAGGTATTCTAAATGACTGACACACAGCAAAACACAAGCACATAAAAAGTTTTTGCCAGTTACACCTTCTAGACACCACAGGATGGTCTACAAAAAAGTCATAAACTTACTTGGGTCCCTACTGCCTTGCATCAAGTTGGGGAGGAAAAAAAAAAAGAGTCTAAGAAATATTCCAGGAAACTTTTGTCACTTCTGCATCACTAAGGATAAACAAACAAACCATTTATTTATAATGGATCAGGTCTAAGACAACTCCCTTCTCTGTACTCAAAGGGCACTTATTCCATACCTCCATTATTACGCTTATCATGATGTAATATAACATGTTTGTTTGTTCTTCATTAGACCCTAATCTCCTTTAGGGCAAGGATTGCCTTACTCATCTTTGTATCCCTAGCACCTAACATGGACTTGGCAGAATCAGCCTTCAATCAATGTGCACTGAATCCATCAGTGGACTCGGTGTCCACTACCTGGCAGCCTTAAGCCATTTTGGATAAAATCTGGAATGACTCTCAGTAATTAAACACTAGTAAGTTTTATTCAGGACACCATTTAACACACTGGGCAAAAACATTGCTCATTTCACACCAGCCTGCTATCATTCCCTATAGAGCAACTTTTCTTGTGTGCTCAGATGCTTATAACTCGCCTTTTCTACAATGATAGAACTCATCATCAAAAGAGCCAGAGAAAGATGTCAAGACTATGCTCCATTTCAAATACATACCATCTCTCAAAATTCTGACTCTTTTTCCAAGAACTTACCACATCCACTGAAGGAACTAATCATTTGGGTATTATCAGATGGAGGAAGTGATGTTTTACAGTGATAAAGACGACCAAGGGGTACAAATGTACATGTACATATACACACACACACATTTAATGATCACTTCAACAGACATCACACTCCATAAAATTTTAAAGTAGTCATGTAACACAATCATGTAACATCATCATATTAAAATGGATACACTGTATGATGTTGGGGTGGTCATTAACAGAACCTGGAACATATTCACGTTGTAATTATGAATCACTTTCACATAACCCTGTACTTAAGAAGTGCTTAATCATCTTTTTGTTGGTGTAGTTAACTCTTACCTGCATATTATCCACAGAAAAAGAATAAAGTTAATGCCAAGTTGATAACCCCTAATTTTAGGCTGTCAATCTCCTGCTGTCAGTAAAGTGAATAAAAACCAATTTTAAAATAACCCTTACAGGGACGCCTGGGTGGCTCAGTCGGTTAAGCGGCTGCCTTCGGCCCGGGTCATGATCCCAGCATCCTGGGATCGAGTCCCACATCGGGCTCCTTGCTCAGCAGGGAGCCTGCTTCTCCCTCTCCTCCCTCTGCTTGTGCTCTGTCAAATAAATAAAATCTTTAAAAAAAATAAATAAAATTAAATAAAATAACCCTTACACTCCAATAAAAAGGTGAATTTGCTATCAAAATGTATTGCCTTCCAAAACTCAGCATGAAAAAGTTTTTTTATATCCTCCCCCACTGTTCTCTTCCATTGCTGTTTGTAATGGAGAATTGATATTGTTAAATCTAATGTCATCCTATATACCAAATTAAAATAAGTCAGTACTTCATTTTCTATTTGGGAAAAGGGAATTCTGGGCCCATCATAAAAATCTTCTGAATAACTTTAAAAGAATTGTGAGTAATACAGTAACAGATAAAACATGTTTCAAATAGATGAGGTATCTTTTTCTAAAACATACTTAATCCCTAAGTCCCCAAACAAGTTTTTCCAAAACCATCGAAGACATTTAAATCAAAAACACAATTTTATCTTTTTGAGAGCCATCATAAATCCTGCAACTGTCAGGTCAATGTAGCAATGTAGCAATAAAATTATTCTTACCTCTATAGTACAATTATGTGCTATTTGCATCATGCTGAAAACACCGATAAGAACTTACAATTTATAAAACTGTACTGCATACAGGTTTCTCCATTATAAATTTTAAAACATACAAACAAAATATAGGTCTACCTTATGACTTTGTGGTTATTAATATTAGCTTTAGCTACCTTAAAACAGTATTAGGTTTCATTTGTCCTAGTACAGTGCTTGGCTCACAGAAAAAACTTGACATTTGTTTTATAAATTAATAACTCTCACAAGGTAGGAGAACAGGAAGTTAATACATAATTCTAAGAGTGCAGCAATGACAGGGTACAATCCAATATATTAGAATTAGTAAAATTACTTCTGACCAAACATTTTCCTCTCCCTTCTCTAAAACATAAATGAAGCTTAACAAAGCCCTACTGACAGTGAGTAGGAGTTAAAAGTACATTTAAAAATTTTACATCTTACCAGAGGGGCGGTGGGTGGGGAAATGGGTGAAGCAGGTGAAGGGGATTAAGAGTACACTTATTTTGATGAGCACGGAGTCATATATAGAATTGTTGAGTCACTCTACTGCACACCTGAAACTAACATAACAGTTTTCTAACTACACTGGAATTAAAAAACAAATCTAAAACTAAAATAAAATTTAACATCTTTCCAAAGATAATCCTTTCATTGTAAATCAATAAATTTCCATATAGTTAATGTAGTTATTAGTATGTCTTGACATCTGAAAGAATTCCTTGCGTTTCAATAGCGTTCCAAAACGTTGTTTCGCTTTCCTACACTTAACTCCAAGAATTCACTGTGGAGCTCTACAGGAAGTGTCCTGGTCAACAATAAAGATATTTCATAAATAATAAAAAGGGATTTTACCTCAAAGAAGAGGTAAAAGAATTTTTAAGAATTGAGCAAGAATTCGGGCTCCCTGCTCCTTGAGAGCCTGCTTCTCCCTCTGCCTCTGTCTCTCATGAATTAAAAAAAAGGGGGGGGGGCGCCTGAGTGGCTCAGATGGTTAAGCGTCTGCCTTAGGCTCAGGTCATGATCCCGGCGTCCTGGGATCGAGTCCCGCATCGGGCTCCCTGCTCCTTGGGTGCCTGCTTCTCCTCTACCTCTCTCTCTGTCTCTCATGAATTAAAAAAAAAAAAGAATTGAGCAAGATTGCAAGCGCCTAAGTGGTCAGGTATGAGGCAGGAAAGTGGAATACGAGATTCAAACCCGGGGAATTTATCAGTGAAAAGCCATTATGCACACCTGCACCTAGGATTCTCAAGTCACAGATCCCCCAGCCAAAGAACTTGCCAGTACCATTACTTTACTTCCATACTTGACTAGGGCTACCCAAACCTCAATCAGATCATATATATATATATATATATATATACACACACACACACACATATACACACACACATACATATAACGTCTAAATAGTTCGCAAAATACTGCTTTACAAAACACATATTAAAAAGGTGAAAGTTGGGCGCCTGGGTGGTTCAGTCGTTAAGCGTCTGCCTTCGGCTCAGGTCATGATCCCAGGGCCCTGGGATCGAGTCCCACATCGGGCTCCCTGCTCGGCGGGAAGCCTGCTTCTCGCTCTCCCACTCCCCCTGCTTGTGTTCCCCCTCAAGCTGTCTCTGTCAATTAAATAAATAAATAAAATCTTTAAAAAAAAAAAAAAAAGTGAAAGTTTCCTTCCAACGCCTATCCCTTATCCAGGTGACTTCAATTCTTTCTTGTCAAAAGAAAGAAGCAACTGGCAACCAGAAGCCCCAGAAATGAACTCTTCCATGAGGAAGACAACGCCAAAGCTGCTGCAGCCAAAGATGTCTAGCGCTCCTTGTGGGCTGTCACTGGAGATGGAAAGCTACACCATGGCAAGGTCTGCACAGAGAAGCAAACAGGTCTGGAGCACGCGCGCGCGCGCACACACACCCAAACACACACACCCGAAAAGGCAAGCTGCTTCAGACCTATAGGCAGAAACCTGGCATCCTCACACCCACTTGCAACCTGACAATTTACAACCGGGTAACACCTTCTAATTAGGAACGTTCTAGCCTTTTAAAGATGAAAAATTAAACTGCTTCCCACAAGTAAGATAAATCAGGCACTGGCGCCTGTTACTGAAAATCCCCAGGGAATCAAACCTCCCGTGTCGCTACTGAACCTGACAAGCCAGTGACCGGGTTTCCCTACAGCAGAGAGGGGAGGAGCCCACCCCGCTCTGTTGGGAGTGGAACGGGAGACAGAGGACAGGAGCAAGGGACGGAGCGCAGAGGCGTGAACAGCGTCCAAGCAGAGCTGGGCTCAGCACACCGGCGGGGACAGACAGACAGAGGGGACCACGCGGGGGCCGGGGGTGCAGGCTGCAAAGCGGGATCCCCGGGCTGCGAAGCCGCCCCCCGAGTCTCTCCCTGCAAAGGCGCGCCCGTCAGGCGCACACACACCGCCCCCACGCCCGTCCGCAGCTCTCCGCGAGTCCCCTCCCAGAAGACACACGCCCGTACCCACCGGGACTCCGCACCCCGGGCTCGCGCGCACACGCCCCTCGGGCCGGCGGCACGTACGTACCCAGCAACACGCAGAGCACATCAAGGGCCACGTACGGCAGCCGCGTCTTGTCAAACATCGTCTCGGCCCCGGCGGCCCGACGCGGGCGGTAGATGAGGCACACAATTCACGACACCGGGCGGGGGGGGGGGGGGGGCGACGGCCCCAAGCTATGCCTCCTCTCGCCCGGAGAAGCGCCGCTGAGGGCAGACGAGGTCCAGGCGGCTCTCTGACGGCCAGCAATGGCGCCCGGGACCCCTGCCCTCGCAGCTCCCACACACCGAGACGCTCGCGTGCCAGCCGCGGCGGCTCCGTGGTCTCGGGCCCTCCTCGGTAGGCCCTGGCCTGCCCCGGCGGCTCGCTGTCCCGATCCCGGCGCCCGCTCCCAACAGGCGGGGCGTCGGAACTCGTGCTTTAAGGATGGGACCGGTAGGGAGGAGGAACATGGGCTCGGCCCCTCCCGCGGCACAGCGCGGGACACGCCAGCGCGCGGCCTCGCTGGCTGAAGGGAGCGCGGCGAAGCCTAGGCGGCCAGTAATGGGGCGGCGGGGCGGGGCCGGGAACCCCAAGCCCGAGAGTTCTGGCCAATCAGCGCCGCCGGCCCCGCCCCGCCCGACCTGCGGAGCCCGCCTCTGGAGTGGGATGCACTGCGGCCTGGCAGACGTTGGGGGCGCCTCGGGTGCGAGGCAAGGGGCGTCGCTCCGACCGGCGTTTCTGCGGTGGTCGCAGGAGGAGGTCTCGTTAGCCCTGGCCGGGGGTTATTGATGCCGGGAGGGAGAGCTGGGTTCTGGACCTACGATCCCAGAGCGCCGGCTCTCTGCCGGCCATCCTCATCCATGCGGTTCAGATACTACAGAGGTCCGAGACAGGCAGTGACGAAGACTTGACCAAGCGTTACTGAGGCTCCTGTGAGCCTTCTACTTGCTTGGGCTTCGACCTAGGCCTTGAAGTGTGGCCCGGCTGAACCCAGTATTAGTACGAATCCTGCTAAGTCATCCCGCTCCTTGATGTCTGATGCCTTTGATACGTGATCAAATTCCTTATTCGCCACCTTTGGCCTGCCTTTCTGTTTCTTCATAGTAATTTTCCATCCACTGACCCCCTCTCTCTGCTTGTTTGTTGGCTATAAATTCCCAGCTGTCTTTACTATACTCAAAATGAAGCACAATTTCTTTCTCCTATTGCAAAAATTTTGACCCCAAATAGCAGTAGTCTTCCTCACCATTTTAACGAGTGTCAACCCTTTCACCCCGTGTTCTAGGAGGACCCTACCAGAGATTTAGCAATCTCAGTTTCCTAATCTGTAAAATCAGGATGATAATCCCTGCTCTGTGTTGTGGTCAAAAAGTGGTGTAGCCTGGGGACACCTGGGTGGCTCAGTCCATTAACTATCTGACTCTTGATCCGAGCTCAGGTCTAGATCTGAGTCCTGAGTTCAAGCCCCACCTTGGGCTCCATGCTGGGTGTGGAGCCAGTTAAAAAAAAAAAAAAGTGGTGAAGCCTGGAAAAAAATATCAAAATTTTATAAAAGGTTAAAACCTCTATAGATGTTAACAACTGGTATGTTTTCTCCTTATTCATAGCTTCTTTTTTTTATTCATATCTTCTTATACAAGATGTAAGATAAAAATCGAAAACTGTGCCTACTACTTCTCAGACTTTTCCTGCCAGATGCCCCTAAAACTAATGGAGAGATAACACTTCCATTAAAGATTCTAAAGATAGAGCCCCAAGTTATACCCCACAAGCAAAAACGTATTCGATAAAGCAGGTTTTTCTTTAAGAAGAATGTAAATTTTGGGTGCTTGGGTGGCTCAGATGGTTAAGCGGCTGCCTTCAAGTCAGGTAATGATCCCAAGGTCCTGGAATCAAGTCCTGCATCAGGCTCCCTGCTCAGCGGGGAGTCTGTTTCTCCCTCTCTCCCTGCCTCTCCCCCTGCTTGTGCTTTCTCTCTCTCAAATGAATAAATAAAATCTTTAAAAAAAAAAATTGTAAATTTTGTATTTCACCTTTTTTGGAATATCTTTTAAAAGTTTTAAACAATTTATAACTGAGAAAGATGTGCCATTGTTTATATGGCTTCCTTTACTTCCAGAGTTACAAGGCCCCCAGAGTGCAAGGCCAAAATAAATTGAAATTACTTGTGATATCTAAGTATTTGGTATTCATTCAAAAAGTATTTATTGTGACTATGTGCTGGGCATAGTCTAGGGACAGTGCTTTATTTAAACAGCTTTGAAATAAACATTTACTTTTAAAATGCCTTTTCAAAAGTAAACATTCAAAAAACCCTATTGATTAATGTTTTTTTATTCACTCATTCATTCATTCAGCATTTGTTGAGTCCCTCAATATACATCAAACTCAGTGCACACTATAAAGACACTAAAATGAGCAAGAAAGGATCTCTGCCCTCTAGGAGCCTACTGCCCCATCAGGAAGACTGGTGTGTAATTAAATGAATATTGTGACAGAAGTGTGTTGGTGTACAGAAGGCACACAAAGCAGGAGTAAGTGTTTTGCCTGGGAGCTCTGGAAACACTGCATAGGGAGGTGATACATTGTTCTTTCCCATCCCTCTGCCAACACCAGAACACATTTTCTTAGGTTAGGAGGGAAAGAAAACAGTTAATATATTAACAGATTTTTTGCCCTTTGGAGGAGTTACAGATAATAGCTTTAAAAATAGATCGACAAAGCAAAGTCCATTAAAACGTATTAAGTCATATCCTTTCTTTTTTAAATGGGATCTGTACTTTGTGCAGATTATAAGCAATGAGTAAGTCCTCCATTGAGGAGAGAATGACTAAGAAATGTCACTTTCTTTTGGGGTGGGAGTTTTTGTTTTTGGAGGTAGTGTTATTTGTTTTGATCTATTGTCATGATTGGATTCTGGTGTACTATTTGGAACTGACAATGAGTTAAATGACCTTGAAATGATAGTGAAGATAATAAAAAGGAAACCCTGATTGAATAATGTCACTGTTAACACCCCGTTGGGGATAGCTACTGGTGTGTCCCTCGAGTAGGCATGAAACCTCAGAGGTTTTATTTTCCCCCCAGAAACTTTCTTAAATGGTTACCAATGTTTGTCCTTGGGCCTGCATGTTTCTTTCTATAATACAGGCATTAAACAAAAGCAAAGCACAGTGGGTTTGGGAAGAGTAGTCCTGAAGATTCCCTCAAGGAGACAGAAACTAATCTTTTCTTTCAGTACTAAGCATTTTTAAAAGGAGACTATAATCTTCCTCCTCCATTTCCACTTTCTCTTTAAATATTTCTGTATTCTCACTTCTGTCCCTACTCCTCTACTTGCACTGTTCTTTAACATAATATTATTAAGTCTCCCTCTCTCTGTTCAAATAGTGCTTCTTGTCTCAACTACTTTATTTCACAAAGTTGCTGCAAGGTAGTAAGAATAAATTCAACTACAGTACTTGTGTTTGTATGTGCTTATGTTCTTTCTTCCCACATGAACTGAAACAAATACAGTTTTTACTATACTCAAATATCACTGTAAAATGAAAACAATTAAAAGTGGAAATGTCTCATTACCCAGAGCATGTGCCTCCCCCCAAAAAAGTTTTTACAATATGATATCTTTTTTTTTTTTTTAAGATTTTATTTATTTGCGAGAGAGAGAATGAGAGACAGAGAGCATGAGAGGTAGGAGGGTCAGAGGGAGAAGCAGACTCCCTGCTGAGCAGGGAGCCCGATGCGGGACTCAATCCCAGGACTCCAGGATCATGACCTGAGGCGAAGGCAGTCGCTCAACCAACTGAGCCACCCAGGCGCCCCACAATATGATATCTTATAATCCTTTTAACACTTCTTACCAAAGCTACTTTTTCTTGTTTCTTGTTATGTAATATTTGAAATATACATATATGAAATATAAGTTATGAAGCATAATAATAAAATGAGCAACTATTAATCCACCACTCAATTTAATACCTAGAATACTGTAGTATCACTGAGTTTACCTGTGTGTCCTAACCCATATCCCTCCTTCGGGAGAGGTAACCACTATCTGGAATTTTGTCTTTATCTTTTCCTTGCTTTGTTATTTCTCTGTGGAAAAACATATAACCATATATGTATATATCTCTAAAAAATATATATTGTTTAACCTTCTTGTTTTTAGCTTTTAAAAACATTATGCAATATATGTAGTCTGCCTTTGATTTTTTTTTTTTTCCCCACTCGAAGTAGTATTTCTTGGGGCACCCAGGTGGCTGTCGGTTAAGCGTCTGCCTTTGGTTCAGGTCATGATCCCAGGATCCTGACATCCCCTGCGTTGGGGGGGTGGTGTCTCTGTTCAGTGGGGAACCTGCTTCTCCCTCTCCTTCTGCCTACTGCTCTGCCTGCTTGTGCTCTCTCTTGCTCTCTCACTCTCTCAAATAAATAAAATATTTAAAAAGAAACAATATTTCTTTTTTTTTTTTTTAAGATTTTATTTATTCATTTGAGGCACAGAGATACAGAGAGAGAGAGAAAGCATGAGCAGGGAGAAAGGCAGAGGCAGAGGGAGAAGCAGGCTCCTCGCTGAGCCAGGAGCCCGATGTGGGGCTCGATCCCAGGACCCTGGGATCATGACCTGAGCTGAAGGCAGACGCTTAACCATCTGAGCCACCCAGGCGCCCCAATATTTCTTGTATTCATTTGTGTTGCTGCAATAATTGCAGGTCTATTAAATGAATGTATGCCTTATACATTCTTCTGATGATGGGCATCTGGGTTAGTTCCATTTTTGCTGTGGGAACACTGGTATGCATGTCTCCTGTGTGGCCATGCTCGTTGCGGAGCTGCTACATCATGGCATATGCACACAGCCAACTTCACTAGATAATCCCAGGTTGTACTCCCAGCTGGTTGTACTGGTTTACCTCACCCACACTAGCAGTGGAGACAACCCCACATTTTTATCAACACGTTATTTTTGAGATGTCTAAATTTTTGCTAATTTCATGGTTGTAATATGCCATCATGATGGGTAGTTATCACAATATAATCATAATTGGATTTCCCCGATCACTAATGTGATTGGGCATCTTTCTCTCAATTTACTCACCAAAAATGTTTCTTCTTCTGTCAATGGCCTGTCTTTGGCATATTTTTCCATTGGGTTGTTTATCTTATTTTTATCAGTGGAGAAGTTCTTTATATAGTCTCAATAGCAATCACTTGTGGCTTGCGATTTCACTTCCTTTATGAGCAGCTAGATTGCAGAGTTCTTATAAATGTAATATACACAGAAATCTCTTGACAGATTTCTGTGAAAGTTTTTGCTCTCTTGACCAAAGGTGAAGACTGGTTTCCCTTCCCTTCTTTTTCCACCTTCTTTGAACATGGACATAATATTTAGAGCTAAGCAGCCATCTTGTGATCATGAGGAAAAGGCCAAGAAGAGTAGTGCCACTGGTCTTTGGAATATAATGTTGAGCCACTAAAACAGTCAGCAACTAGCTACCTCCAGATTTCTTCTTATGTGAGCAAAAAACAATTGCTTAAGCCTCAAG